GACCCTAAAAGAAACTGGAACTGTGAAGTTTATACCTGAAGTTATAAACAAGATGTAGATAAATATTAAATTGGGTGCTGTGCTTTAAAAATTATGTAGAATGGCTTTGACAACAGTGGTGGCAACTATCCCCTCTCACATTTCTTATGTTTGTGCTACTGAATTTATTTAAAAGTTAAAGGAGGGGGGCCATGCAAGAAGCAACAGTCATCTTTATCTTTTTGAGACTGAGATGAACAGAGATAGTGACTCAGCTTGTTTCTAAACTTGAGCGTGCGAGTCAGGAGCAACCTATGAACGTCAATACTCCTGTTGTGCCAGTGAGAGGGGGCATCTGACAGCCATCGTGGTTACCTTGTAATCACACAGATATTTCGCCTTAAGCCTTAGGACACCTGGCCTTTGCCCAAGAGTTGACACTATGCACAAATAGTGACATCATCAGTAAGGCAAGGGCAATACGGACACACATTTGTGACGTCTTGCCATGAACAAGAGGGGAAAAGGTAGCACAGAGGGCAAAGAGCAATTTAGAGAAAGTTACTTTTTAAAACTCTTTTCACTTTTTTTAAGCTATAAGAGCTGGCTAGGTACAGTGGCACATGCCTGTAATCCCAGCACTTTGGGAGGCCAAGGCTGGTGGATCACAAGGTCAAGAGATCAAGACCATCCTGGGCAAAATGGTGAAACCGTGTCTCTACTAAAAATAAAAAAATAGCTGGGCATGGTGGTACGCGCCTGTAGTCCCAGCCACCCAGGAGGCTGAGGCAGAAGAATCACTTAAACCTGGGAGGCAGCAGTTGCAGTGAGCCGAGATCACGCCACTGCACTCCAGCCTGGCAACAGAGCAAGACTCCATCTGGGATGAAGCTTCACTGCTGATAGGAAGTATGGGGTAGAGGCAGCAGTACAGGAGCCCATAGCTGTTCAGCAGGCAGAAGGAAACCTAGCTCTGAAAGCAAGGCACTAGCCAGGCCCAGTGCTCAAACATCTCCATTTAGAAAGCACATTAGATATACTTTTCAATTTAAATTTATAAACAATAAAACTTGTGTGTGCATATGTGTGTACAGTTCTCTGCGTTTTAACACATGCATAGATTCTGAAACCACTGCCACTATCAGAACACAGCACAGTTCCAATGCCCCAACGATGTGATGGCTGCTATTGCTTTGCAAAGGCAGGCGCAACTCCCACCTTAATGCATGGCAACCACTCATCTGTTCTCCTTCCCTTCGTACTGTGTTGCCTTGTCCAGAATGATAAAGAAATGGCCTTACACAGTATGTGACCTTCTGAGACCACCTATTCAACTTGGCATGATGCCCCTGGCAGTCATGCAAGCCACTGCACGGATCACCATTCCTTTCGATATCTAAGTTATACTCCACAGTACGGATGGTCCAGCTGGTTGATCCATTCACCCACTGGAGGGACAGCTGTGCTGTTTCCAGGCCTAGGTGATGATAAGTGAGGCTGCTACAAACATTCACACACAGGCTCTGTGTGAACACAAGCTTTCATTTCTCTGGGGCAAATATCTGGGAGTGGGACTGCTGAGTGGACATTTAGCTTTCTGTGAAACTGCCAAACTTTCTCAGCGTGGCTGGACCACTTCCCACTCACACCAGCAGCTGTTCAGCTGCCCTGGCTCCATGCTAGAGTGTGACTGTTATTTTTTATTTTAGCCATTCTAATGGATACGTAGTGCAACCCACTGTATTTCTGAAGTGAGCAATAATGATGAGCATCTTTTCAGGTGCTTATTTGCCATTTGCGTGTTCTCAGTAAAATGTCTATTCAAATCTTTTCTTCGCCAATTTTTGTTTGGGCTGTTGTTTTCTTATTCTTCAGTTTTGAGAATTCTTTGTATGTTCCTAGACATAAATCTTTTGTCAAATATAAGATTTGCAAATGTTTTCTCCTGATCTAGTCATAACATCTTTCACAGAGCAAACGCTTTCAATTTTGATGAAATCTAATTTATCAAGGTTTTCTGTTATTGATCATGCCTTTCGTGTACCTAAGAACTCTTTGCTTATATCAAGACTATTTTTCTTGCATGTTTACTTATAGAATTTTTGCACCTTTATATTTAGTCTATGATCCATTCGGAGGTAATTTTTGTGGCCCGTGTAAGGTACAGAATGAGATTCCTTTTTTTAATTTTTTTTTTTTTTTGAGACACAGTGTCTGTCACCGAGGCTGGAGTGCAGTGGCATGGAACTGACTCACTGTAACCTCCACCTTACAAGTTCAAGTGATTATCGTGCCTCACTCAGCCTCCTGAGTAACAGGTTACAGGTAGGTACCACCACACCCAGCTAGTTTTTGTGTATTTGGTAGAGACAGGGTTTTACCATGTTGGCCAGGCTGGTCTCAAATACCTGACCTCAGGTGATCCACCCAAAGAGGTGGAAAGGTTCCTTTTCTTACCTGTGTGTGTCCAACTGCTCCAGCATCACTTGTTGAAAAGACTGCATTTCTCCACTGAATTGCCTCATGCTTTGTCAAAATCTATGGGATATATTTTTGGGGTTGATTTCTGGATTCTCTATCTGTTCTGTGTGTCTACCAATACCACACTGCTGGATGATCACAGCTTGAAAGGATGCCCCAAAACCAGGTAGTGCCAGTTCTCCTCCTTGTTCTTTTCTTTCTAAGTTGTTTTGGCTATTCTGGCTCCTTAACATCTCCATATAAATTTTAGAACCAGCTTGTCTATATCTTGAAAGATTCTGCTGAGATTTTGATTGGGAATGTGTTAAATCTATAGATCATTTTGGGGAGGAGAGACATGTTCACTGTACTGTGTCTCCCAATCCATGAACATTGTATGTCTTTTAATATACTTAGTTCTTTGATCTTTAAAATCAGCATTTTGTAGTTTTCAGCATACAGATCCTACATTTATTAGCTTTATACTGAAGCCTCAATGGAATCCTTGCATCCTGATGACTTGCTTAACTCAGTTGGCAGCTCTAATTGCTGTTTTATAGATTTCTTGCGACTGACTATGTAGAAAATCGTGTGGTTGATTATATAGAGATAGGTTCATTTCTTCCTTTCTAACTTATAGGGCTTTTATTACTTTTTTTGTCTGATTACCTTGTACCTCCTTCATTCACTTATGTGTCTGAGTGCCCCAGGTTCTTCCCTTCAGGCAAGAAGTCTAGACTGAAGATCAGAAGTCTCTTAATGCATTTTAATGCCCACTTTTCTCATATCAGGTAATCCCAGAAGAGATACAATAACTTAAATTTTCACCCAGTTCTGTTTCTATATCTGATTAGTTGGCGAGTACTGGCAGGACACTGAGCAGAGACATGCAGGGCACCAGGGTCTGTATGCATGTCAACAGCAAATGCAGTAAATCCTCATGTCTCACCTGTATGGACTGCTCAAAGTCCCAAGTTGGGTAAAGATTCCTGTATGGATACATGTCACTATAAGAATGTTTTTTCCTCTGAAACCTGAGGGAAGGAACAGGAGTCAGATGAAGATACAGAGACAATTTGAATTGGAGATAAATAAAACACAGAGCTCCTTCACTGATGCTAGAGTTATGAAAGACAGTAGTCCAACCTATCCAAAGGGTTTACAGTCCATGACCCCTCGGGCATGCCTGAAACTGTGGATAGTTCTGAACCCTACATATATTATGTGCATTTTTTTTTCTTTCTTCAAAATTTCATGAGTCCAAGAGTCATTTTTTCCATAGATCTTAGCTACGTCAGCATACCATTTCTCTCTCCTTATTAAGTTGACAATGTTCACCTTTTCACTTAAAGAAAGCACCTTGGAGTGTCTCTTTGGCATATCAAAGCTGTCAGCATCAATACTCTTGTGCTTAAAGGATGATTCACATCCCAGGCAGAATGAAGCAGGATGAACTGAGATTTCTTCATGCTACTCAGAAAAGCATGCATTTAAAGACTTATATATTGTTCATTTCTGGAATTTCTCATTTAATATTTTCAGACTGTGGTACCTGAAACCACAGAAAGCAAATCCCTGGATGAGGTGGGGGGCCACTGTCTTTCATCCAAATAAACATAAAGCAGCACTAGTATGTAATTAGGTAGGGTGATCCCCAACTTCCACCAGTGCAAATAAATAGTGCTTACTTTTGGAATTTCAACCTTTTCTATTTCACAACTGAAAGCACCAATCTCTTTAAACTCAGTTACAACATGGAAAAAAGATCACGCCCATTCTTGAAAATACATGTGTAGCTTTTGCATGTTATAATTCTACTGGTTTAAATGAACACAGTATGAGTATGAATATAATACATTCTTGGGAGAGGAGGAGGAAAGTCAGAGGCAACAGATGCAAAATGGTAACCCAAGTAACAAATGATGCTACTGTCATCAGAAAGCAATGTTTTGGAGCAACCTTAGGTTGAGGATCAAAGTGAAAACAGAACCAGTAACAGATCATTTCAATTTTTATGATTAATGAAAATGATGATATATTTTTAAAAACTATCTTTAATGTACAGAAATAAGAGCAAATAATGTAACAGATAGATACGCATAGGATAAAACCTATCTAAATGGGATTAAAAGAACATGTTTCATCCTAAGTAAATCCATCTGTACAAACAATCCCTGAATTCTTTTGGCTCTGCAAACCAGCACTACCGCAGGTCATAGTATTTCTTGGTCACACATAGAGGAAGCTCTTTGACTGTGAGAACGCGCACTTTGCGTTTCTTTCAGCATCTTTGTAATCTTGCTTCTGCTTTATCTTAGAGGCTACTCACTTCCTGCTGTCGACCCTCCCCGTCCTCCTGTTGCCCCAGGACTTGGCGCTGGTTGAAGGATAGCAGCCTGAGGGAGACCAACAGGAGGGAAGACGGGTGTTCCTGGCACACAGGAAAGCATGCAGATCCACAAGGGTGCATGCCGGCCTAAATGCTGGTGTCAGCACCTCAGGGTGACCCGCTCTATCAAAACACCTTGTTTTAAGATATGCAGTTGGCAAACAGGGCTTACCCAATCGTAAGAGAGAATCCAGCAGCCACGCACAATTCCCAGCAGCACGTTCAGGGTGCGAAGAGGCTTCCCGGAGAGCACGTGAGTCGTAGTCTCACAGACTTCCGGCACGATCGAAAAGCCTTTCAATTTATCCACTACCTGGATGACGACATTCTGCTTTCTAGCAAATAGGGGGAAAAATTAACAAAATGAATGAGTTTGCACATGAACATCAAGGCGGTTACACTGAATATCAGTGATAATAAAACTAGAAAGCCAACATTTTAAACTGATTTTGGTTGTGGTGCCTATGTCTTAATTGATTTACCATCAATAGTTTGAACTTTGGGGAAATAAACTTCAGATCTCAGTTCTACTTTAAAGTCTGAGAAGACAAGCCCACAGGTTGTCAATGGCTTCCCACAGTGGCTGGGCGGGTAGGGACAGAGCCAGCCTCAGAAGCCAGGCCCCTGACACCAGAGCAGCACTCTCCCCACTGGGGCAAGTATTTGCTTTTCAGGCCTATTTTAACCTATCTGTGCATGCTCAGAACTAAGATCCTCACTTATCTTATTTTAAAAATGTAACATTTATTGAGTATGAATACATAGTTTTTCTACAAAGAGGAGAAAAAAAGATCCTTTTTATTAAATCCTCAGATCAAATCTAGGACCTATTTGTCACAAAGCTCACGACCATTACCGCTTCTCTCCTGCTCTGTCATTCCCTTAAAGTATCCTTTCAAAAAAATATATTATTTCCATCCAACTGCCTTACCAATCAAAGTTCAGTTCTTTCTTCCCTTTTATAACAACCTTTCTAATGCCCTTTGTTCTGACATTGCTTCTCTCTCGCTCCCAGAAAATTTTAAAAGTCCCCAATGAAAGGCTTTCTAAGCCACCCTGTGACATATACAATGAGTTAAGAAATAAACGTCTCTCCTCTCCAAAAATTATATTACAAAAAGGAAGAGGTTATTGCCTATGCTTATAGACTGTCTCTAACGCTCTTCCTTCCAAGTGATGGTGTTCCTTAGTTTTATTTTATTGTTTTGAGACAGGGTCTTGCTCTGTTGCCCAGGCTGGAGTGCAGTGGCACAATCAGGGCTCACTGTATCCTGGACCTCCTGGGCTCAAGCGATCCTCCTGCCTTATCATCCCAAGTAGTTGGGACTATAGGCACTCACCACCACGTTTGGCTAATTTTTGCAATTTTTTGGAGAGACAAGGTTTTGCTACGTTGCCCAGGCTGGTCTTGTCCTCTTGGGCTCAAGCAATATGCCCACCTGGGCCCCCCAAAGTGCTGGGATTGTAGGCATGAACCAATGCACTCAGCCATCCTAGTTTTATCTTTAGTGATCTTAAGTATGTCCATATGAAGACCTGTTTATCTGTAAAACCAAAGGGCTGAATTATGTCATGCTTTTAAATTATTAGAGAACCTTAAGGTAGAAAAGATGCGTGAGTCAAGATCTGGGCCCCATCACTACTTCAAACAGAGAATCTGTGCAAATTTGAATCATGAAAAATAATTTGGAAAAAAGGCAAAATGATACAAGAAAACAAAAACAAAAGCAGAAAATAAAAGCCTCTAAACTAGACACTTCCTAGAAGAACTCCATCCTGAGGCTGGCAGCTACTTGCTGGATTTGCCAATAAGTAACAAGTGTCTCTGCAAGGCAGAGCTAATCCCCACAAAATCAGAATGTCCAGGTCTTGTTCTTAACTATCACAAGAAGCCTACGTGGAGAAAAAAGAGTAAGACAAGAAGATGGCCTAAATGAAAAGTTTTATTTTAAAATCGTGAATGAGAAAATAACTAGTTATTATTATTATTTTGGAAAAATATAAACTTAAAAAATATTGCATGCATATTCAATATTCACTTCTGTAATACACTATTTATAACGTTCAATGTATTTTATAATACATTTACAAAAATTTTGAGTGATCTCCTTTTTCACTGTATAATGCATGGTGCTTGAACGATCAATCCTTCTATTTTTAAGCCACAGGCAGGAAAAGGATTCCACTACCAAAAATGTTCTAAACGTACACTCTCTGTAGCATGGTTTTCACTGAAACGTTCCAGTGTTTTGATGGATGTCTTAAAACCTTAAAACCTATGATTGATATCAAAAACATGGTTTTCCCCTTTAAACAGGAATTCAGAAATCTGCTGCAAAGAATATAGTACTGTATTTTTGTTGGATGTTCTTTGTTGTGTTAAATGTTGAAGGGAGATGATAAGAGCATGCCAACGAGCTATTAACCCTTCCACAAAATGCACAGACAGCGACTTTAATACAGCTGTGGAAAGCTTTCTGCCACAGTATTACTTTAAGATCTTTAAGGGGAATGTTTTGGTCAACATCGTTCCACTTCTTGAACATTCATGAAGCTATTTGGTATCAAGCAAGCAAAAGAACGCCAGGAAGAGCACACGCCTCTTAATGCTGCCTAAACAACCCCAGAGTTTTGAAGGCTAAATCGCTCACATTTGGTACACGTTTAATTTTCAGTGATCTTCTAACTCAGGTATTCATTATATAAAATAACGGTGATACAGGATGGATGGACACACTGCCTGAAGGCACCCAGAATTAGAGTATATGAGAGAAAAGGTTAACATTTTATATTGAACAGAAATCAAAACAAGTACTTACTCAGATGGCATGCTTGTCATGACTAATGTTCTTGTTGGCTAGAGATTTCAAAAGAGAAGGAACAAAAAACAGTCAAAAACAGAAAAAATATTTTTCCCACAGAAATAAACTTTAATAAGTTTTTTGAAAAGTTACATCACTTAAAGAAAAACATTTAAACATATATCCAAAAAAAAAAAAAAAACCTTTATATTCCTGGAAAAAAACCGCCCAAGAGATAGAAACTCAGATAGTATCCCTAAACCAATCCAAAACAATCCAGATAGGAGGTACAAGAGAAAAAAAAAAAAAAAAAAAATTCCCTCCAGGAATCTGTTCTACCAGTTAGCCAGCAGACCTTCGGGCGTGTCAACATCTTTATAGCCTTCAGAGTGAGGAAGGTAAGAAGGGGGCTTTTGTAGACTTGCCAGCCACTCTTCTCAAGACTGCTAGGCAACCTCATTCTCACTTCAGACACATGTGCACAATGATGCTTGTGCTTCTGTTGCACCTGCTGAGTGAATCCCCCCACACAGAGGCATGGACAATGGAACTTATTTATTGTGTTGACATTGGCTATTAACTGGAATTGTAAAATTTTTTTAAATAAAATATTTAATTTGTTTTTGCTAACGTTAAGAAATGCATGCCGAAAATTGCAAAAAAATTTAAATGCTATAGAAATATGTAATTAGAAATACAAATTTCCTATAATTCCTCCAGCTAGAAATGACTATTGTTTAACAATTTGGTAATATATTCAGCCAAATGTTCACTCTATAGGAGTGCGTGTGTGTGTGCATATGCATGTATGTACATATATACAAATGAAAATGAATTCACAAATTATTCATACACTTTTGTAATTTGCATGAGATACTTCAAACGGAACTAACTGTGTAGTATAACCAATATGTCTTGAAAAGTCAATGTGAAGTAAATGAGAAGGAACAAAAGGCATTTAAAGGACCCCACGGTTGACGAAGGTGACAGCCATGAAGGGGTTTGTGTACTACATATTTGGGGAAGGCAGAGAAGGAAGAATGAAGTAACGTGAATCAAAGATATTCAAAGGAAGAACACAGAGGAGTGACCGATAAGATAACAGATGACTGCTTCCCTGCCTTTTTAGCCAGCCACGCAGAATATTCTCCTGTTAGCTCTTAGCCGTTTCTGACACCACAAGTGAACCAACTACCTGGGTTAGGTCTAGAGACAAGGTCTTCATGTGGAAGTCTCTCTCTAATCACCAGATAAGGTTCTGTTTGAAGCCTGATTTTGCTCTTCAATGTCATCTTTGAGTGAGAACTACGTAGGCCCAGTGAAGTGAGCAGCCCGAAATGGTTATCGGGAACTACCCAAAAAAGCCAGTAGGGTCCCGTTTGTGAGAATTCTCCATCTCTAGGATCAGGAGGTGCAGGGGAAGGAGAAAAGGAGGCTGCCTTGACTGCGACTTCTACAATACCAGGCTTCTTCTCCATGACTTCGCCCTCCTTACGGTTTGTCCTCTTTACCTCTATTCCCTTCCTTCATGATTAACAATTTTGTTGCAAGTAAACACTGAAATGAGCAATTTTGTAAACAGTCTTTACAGTATGCAATTACACAGGCGTACGAGCCAATTCTTAATGTAGTCACTTATCTATGTGACTGCTGCTTTGCCTCACATTTCACTGATGGTCATAAAGAAGCTAAGAAAGTTTGGTCACTGTATTCTCTTTAGTGAAGGTAGCCTGACCCAACCCCCACACTCCAAGTGCAATCGATAGCATGAAACGGTCATAATGCACGAACCTGAAGAGAATCAGTAAACATTCTTTAACGTTACTGGAAAAGTCCAAAAACACAAACTAACATGTATTAGGATCAACATATTAAGTGTTGAAAAACTAAACAGTGCTTTGTAACTGAGACCTGGATTTACCTGTTCTACCATATGTATTCCATTTTTTTACAAAAGTAATTTTCAATAACAAATTGAAACTATACCTCAGCCCTATGTTCCTAGAATATAAAGGCTTATTTAAGACTTCTCCCCAGCCTTTTATATTCTGAGAACTGGTGAATGCAAAGGGCCACCCCGCTCCTATGGTCCAAGATAAGACACATCCGCTTCCTCCCCAGTGGCTCAGACAAGCCCACTGCATCCCCTTCAGGATTCCCCCACGACTTGCTCATAACTCCTTTGTTTATCTGCCTCTCCAAAACTCCAAGCTCCTTCCTTTTCTTTGAGACATTCCTCATTAATGAAAGTCCTGTCATGACAACAGTCTGAACACAGAATGATCTTAATTGTCCGACGAATTCGTCTTTCAGAGTTTTGGTGCCATGACTCAGATGGGATGGGACTCATTCTGTACAGAAGGGCCTCCAAGTTTCAGACCCAGAGACTCAGCATGGACTTCAGCTTGATCCTGCTCTCCAGGCTGTTGGTATCAAGGTAAGAATTTGACTGTAATTGTTTTGAGTAGTCACTTGATTTCTGATGCCCGCTTCTTTTGGTTTCATAGTCTGACTACTTGGTGATCTCTGTGCATGGACTGCTGGCTTATAGGGATCTTGTCTCTGTTGAGTGAAAGATAAATAATCTGATTTGCTAGTATTTTTGTCTACTTTTCTACTTTGGGCTCAAAACAATTAAGAATTTCATGCCATCAGGAAGTAGAAATTGAAATAAAAATTCATATTTGTGTTTATGTTTGGCCCATGACTCATTTTTTTTTTTCTTTTTCAGACGGAGTTTTGCTCTTGTTGCCCAGGCTGGAGTACAATGTACCATCTCAGCTCACTGCAACCTCCATCTCCCAGGTTCAAGCAATTGTCCTGCCTCAGCCTCCCAAATAGCTTACAGGCACCCACCACAATGCCTGGCTAAATTTTGTATTTTTAGTAGAGGTGGCTTTCATCATGTTGACCAGGCTGGTCTCAAACTCCTGACTTCAGGTGATCCACATGCCTTGGCCTCCCAAAGTGCTGGGATTACAGGTGTGAGCCACTGCACCTGGCCTAAAATTCTAGAAATGAAGCTTACAGATTATCTGTGTCTGTGTGTATGTCTGTATGTTTGTACTGCAGAAATGCCACTATAGTGAATACTTAATTTTATATAGCCTTGGCATCTATTTTGAACATAAGTTTAACTTTCTCATACCAGAAACAGGGCTTAGTTTCCCTGGACAGCTTCCACCTGCCACCCCAGTCCTCAACGTGGTTGATCCAGGGATCTGCTGTTCACACCTCCTCCTGGTGAAGACCTCCCTAAGGGAAGCCTACCCGGCCGGCCCTGCCAATCCCACACCCCACACGGACTGTGGAGTCTGCCACAGTGACCACCTCTCATTTGCTTTGTGACCATGAAACTCATGGCTGTCTGTTTTAAATCCACCAACTACAACTCCCTGCAGGAAACCTTTTTGGACAATGCCCTGGCCCCCTACAAAGGTGTTGACCCCTGGGTCCCATTCTCTCTCATTATGCCTGACTCTTCATTCTTTCTTCTTGTGACCTGGGGATACAACACTGCCCTCCTGACACATGGCGCCCTCCCTCCCTAGGATCTGGGAGTAATAAATCTTGGAACTTATTTCCTATCATGGTGGTGTGTTGAATTTGCACATTCCATCTGAAGAACCAGGGGCTCTCCCAGGCTGCCTGGGTTTTCCCTGGGATGCCAGGGAAGAACACAAGGGCAGGCTCCGAGCACCAGAGCGATGGTCAGGCAGTCACAAGCAGGAGAGGGTCAGAAAAGAGCCACAAGGGTGTCTGCCAGGATGAGCACATTTCCTGTGTGAGGAACGTCTGAAACTGGGCCAGACAAGAGGCATCAGGCTGCGTCCACCAGGAAAAAGGACTGCCTGTGAAAGGCACCCAAGTAAACGCTGGCACCCTGCTCCCCCGCATTTTCTGTTAGGGCAGGGTCGTTAGCTGCACTGGTACTGGAAGCCCAGTGTGGCAGGGGAGATTTCAAAGCAGCTACTGTCTCCCGTCCTGGGATAATCATCACGAGATGGTCTTACCAAATGAGATTATGATAGCTCTTCAGGAAGTTCTGTTCTGACTGGCTTAGAAATAAACAGGTGCCTATACATTGAATATTCCTAAAATTCCCAGAAATTAAGGAAATTGAACTTCTAATAATACTTTCAACAGCACTAAAAAAAGTATTCTTATAGAAATGTAAATGTTTTAAGAATTCAAGTTCACATATTTAGGTAAATCTTTGGCAAATGTGACTAGCTGAATCATGTCTTCTGTGAGTTGTCAGCATTAAGCATTATTATTATTTTTTTAAGATGGGGTTTCTTGCTATGTTGCCCAGGCTGGTCTCAAATTCTTGGCCTTAGTATCCTCCCATCTTGGCCTCCCAAAATGCTAGAATTACAGGCATGAGCCACTGTGCCCAGCCAGACTATACATTGTTATTCTACTTGTACATGTTCTTACAAAAGCTATACAGATATACTGATCAAATAAGTGAATGTTACTCCTACTTAAGGTTTAAGACTATGAAAAAAATGTAAAGTTGTACTTGACTAAATTGAATGATTAATCTGACAAACTTTTTTTTAACAGTAATTTTAAAAATTCTTTATTTATTTACTTTTTGAGAGACGGATCTTGGTCTAACGCCCACACTGGAGTGCAGTGGTGCAATTTTTTTTTCTTTGGGGGATAGCAAGGTGAACTCATTACATGTTAAAATCTTAGTAATATTATGAAATTAGTTTTGACCCCACAGACTCCCTGAGTTCCGTCCTAAAATGTCAGTTTGTTCTGAAGTATGAAAGAGCATGATAAAGACAAAATGTAGAATAAATTTTTCTTGGCTTATATTATCTGAGTTTAAGAAGTTGTGAAATGCACAAAAAGATCTTAGCAAACTTTGCTCAATAATAACCAAAGGGTGGGGGCCGCTGAAGTATGCATGACTGAGGCATCTGGGCACTGCCTGACCTGAAGCATGGATCGGAGTTACACCCACCCTCCAACTCCGTGAAGGAAACATGTCATAGAAAGCCAAAACCACACTTCAAAATCAAAATCAGGACTGAAATACATA